AGCTAACTAGTCCTGAAGCATCTAGTAAGAATATTTTAAATAGGGCCCATCAAGGAAAGCAGGGAAATACTGAAAGTACCTAAATATCAAGTAGGTACCCTTTAAGCATATTTCAGACTTCTTGGTTGGACCACATTTGTACTTATTAAATACATCATGAATGTAAAGTCACTTTAGTACTTGTTAGCTTTAAAATACTTTAAAATGTTTGCCTGTTAATACCATTTGGGTATACAGTTGGTAGCATTTTACCCTTCAAGTATTGGTACTTGAAGGGTAAAAATTTAAATTTCATAAAGTCCTAGAAATGACCCAAAAAGTATTATGGAAGTACCATATAGATATTCCACAAAGAATACCTATGATGTACAGTTTTGTTCTTTACATTAACAACCACCTATTCCAGAGGCCTCCCATAGAAAATCCATATCCTATAGGTACCCAGTATGCATCCTATATACCCTAGCAGTTGTACGTATGAAAATAGTACACGTATATAAAAAGCACTGGGCATCGACTAACAAAAACAAGGTACATTTCAATATGCAAGAGTTAAAGGACCAGATAGGTGCCTCATGGGATCCTTGTAAGTACAATTGCTACTGAATATATCCAGTATACCCTGCAGGTACCATTTAAGCATCCATTTCACATATGCATTTATAAATGCACACTATGGGTACCCTGTAACTGTCACTAGGTATTTTGGAAGTTCCATGCAGGTAACCAGAGGTAACTCATAAAAAATCTGTAGGTATCCTATAAGAGCTCCCTATATACACTATGCACACCATGCATAACATAATTTCTTTTTAGGTGCATGTGTTACAGATAGGTAGCCATTCACCATCATGTACTCTGTAGGTACCTTAAAAGTTCCCTAAAGGAATCTTGTAAGGACTTTGTCATAACTAACTTCTACCAGAGGATGAAGGATCAAAGGGGACCTTTTGGATATTAAGTTGCAGACTTCCTCAACATTCTCAGTCTTTTTTTTTTTTTTTTTTGAGCACATACTGTTGCAAAACCTAAGATGGCCTCAAAACCCTAAAAAGAATAGCATGAGCCCATTGTCCCCTGTGGGCTACTGTACAAAGCATGAACGTAAAACTCTCCTCATCTAGAAATAAAGTAGTGATAACTGTTATGATAACCTGAAAATGAATTGTTATTTATATAGTTAAGTTTGTCTTAAATGATTCAACACAATCATTTAAGACTGGGTAGACAGATTCACCTGCCCAGACTGAGTGGAGGCCTCCAGGGAGGATTGAACAGCGGCGAGGGTTTGCCTGCCCACGGAGAAGCGGCCACAGCGTAGAAGGTTAAGCAGCACAGGAGACGACATGACTGACTGTCCTTAACAGCTGTAGACATTTTGCATGAAGGAATTAAACCAGGGAACTTTGCACATTTCAACATATATATCCTATGGCACCCCCATCATTATTACATTAATTACAAACATCGAGCTTCTAACCTTTAAATATCGAGGGGTCTCTTATTTAGAAGGAGGCAGCAGTGAAAGACGGATTCAGCTATGAAATAAAAATCCTCTAAATTATTGACATTAACAGGGATTACATTCCTCATACCCCTTATGAGCCCATTATTCCTTTTGTGTATGTTTGTTCCACAAATAGCCCTGCTGCTCAGCGTTTTCACCACTTCCTTTCCGTATCAGTCCCCTACAACAGGATCAGCTCTATAAATAGTCAGACTGACCTATAAAACCATTTCTGCTTTGACTTTAGATTTTAAAAGCTTTATATAAAACTGATCCCATTCGAGCGAGGTAAACTCTGAAGCTGTCACTATTTCCCATTTTCTGGTGAGGTAATTTACATTTTACGGGGCCAGATCGGATCACATGCCGCTGACATAGTTGGACTGAAACTCCCTCTGCAACAAACACCATGGAACGTTTCTTGGTGAACTTGACCTTCAGAGTAGCGTCAATAACAAAAGCACGTGACTTGCTGATGACAAGACCTCAAAAAGCACATACGTTTTAACGGCTGAATATATCAGAATTTAAAGTCATCCAAAAAAAATCATAAAAATTGAGGCTGAATAAAAAATTTAAAATCAATTAACTATTTAAAAACTTAAAAAATAAAAACATTTTACAAAATTAGAAAGACCCAAAACAAAGAACTGATAGATAATTCTGTTTATTTCTTAAATAAATAAATAAACAAGTACTTAAAATAAAAAGGTTCCTTATCAATATGTAGAAAATAAGTTTATTACACATATATCATTAAAATATAAATATTTATACATATCTTATTACATTCTTTCTTTTAAAGAAAGGCACTTTGAAAGGAAAAGAAAAATAAAAAAAATGGCAAAAAAAACAAAAGCACATGTAAACCAACCTCTTCACGTCATTAACAGATAATTTTCCCGCCGTTTCAGTTTCCTTGGCAACAGGTGTCCAGCAGCTGCCTTGAGCAGTCAGTGGTGCTCGCCCTCTGATTATTCACCTCACCCTGAACTACTGGGAGTGGTTTTAACTACCCTGTAGCTGACCAATCAGAGCACGGCACATCCTGAAAAAAAGTTCAAGTGTTCTTTAGCCTTATCAGGTTCAAACTGTTCTATCTTTAAAGCAAACAGATTACGGCGATTTATTCCAAGTATTTTGGATCAACAATCTATAATTTTATATTTAATCCTAAAAGCATTATTATTATTAATATTAAATTTTAGACATTTAAAATTTTATAACCACTGTGTTTTTATGTATTTTTAGCCTGTGTGGTTTTTACATCAAGGTTTTTTTGTGTGGCTATTCTCCCTGGGGCCAAAAAAAAATAAAATAAAATAAAATAAAAAATACATAAAAATATGAAAACAAAAAACATAAACATACACATAAAAAAAATATTATAACCCACTGTTTATATTAATTCTTAATTAAAAGTATCCACTTTCAAAGCATTTAATTCCCTTTCAAAATATATTTCAAAGCATTTTATTTGAGAAAATATGTTATGATAGTGAGGCTAGGAAATGTAAAACATTATGCAGACTGTTGATTAAATACTTTTAATGTGAGTTAAAATTGTTATTTAAAGACAGTTGGAGGATTAATGGCGAGAGAGAATCCACATGCTGCATGGTTGAAACTTGGTATAACAAATAAAGGATTATTCAGCAAAAAAATAAAGATAATAATAATAAAACAAACAGAGATAGGCCTTTGGAATTTCACTAAAAATATATATTTTTTTTGTTTCCGCAAAGCACTTTTCCTACTACACTGCAAAAACAATCTAGAAATAGGTACAGATTTCTTAAATTAAGTGTATTTACTCTTAATTTGGGTAGGTAAGTAAGAGGATTTGCCAATGGAATGTGTATTTTTATTCTTAAAATAAGATAATTAGATAAAACTCACTTGAAATAAGACAATGCAATTGTTATTTCTTATCATAAATGTAATTTGTCTTGTTCCATTGGCAAAGTGTCTAACTTACCTTTTCAGTTCAAGAAAAAATACTTATTTTAAGAAAAATTGACTTATTAAGATTAAAATTTTTTGCAGTGTAGATATGCGTTATGAGGTGAAACAGAAAATTAGATTAACCTGAACTGCTAATTAAACACTGGTTTCATAAAATGGTTGTTTCGCGTTCTTCTGTTTAAAAAACTTGTACATTAAAACTGTGTTAAATGGTTAAAAAAGATAGTAAAGACTAAATTGAAAACAAGAAAACAGCTGAAGAGTTTGTAATGAACCTTTATTAAATACATCACTCCTTACAGTGTGTTCTGGTGTGTGTAAATAAAACATAGTGGAGTTTCTGTTGTTAACATGAGCGTCATTTAAATGTTTCTGAATTATTTAAATAAATGATGAAGCTCCATCAGCAGCATCCAAGGGAGTAGAAGGAGTTACAAAACAGGCTGGGTAGGTTCAGGGAGGAAGAGGAGATGGAGACAGAGGGGGGAGATGAAGGGACGAAGCAGGGAGGTTTGATTTACATTCAAGGTGCTAAATATCAAAAAAATAAAAGCAGACAGAGAAAATACATGAGGTTAGAGGAAAGTGTCAGAGGAACCATTACTGTTAGATTAGCTGCTAAAAACCAATGTCTGAAAGAAGGAACTAAAGGAAACATATAGGGGAAACTTAAAGGAAAGCTATGTTTATAGTAGAATAAAACTTGTACAAAGTGGAAAATATGAAATTCAAAGAAGAGATTATTCAAAACTGAAACAAGAAAAAGCAGAAAAAAAACAACATTGAAACAAGAAAAAGTAGAAGAAGATTTAGGTAAGAAGGAGACTGAAAGAAAAGCTTAAGAAGGCCTGACAAGATGAAGAAAATGGAAGGTAAAAACTGGGACAAGGAGTCAGGAAAATGTAGAAAACAATTAAGTAAAGAAAAGAAAAACAGAAAGGAAAGAAATAAAATGCGAAAGAAATGGGAAAGACAAATTAAAAAGAAGTGAAATATGATAAAAACAATGGAAATGGAAGTGACAGGAAAATAAAGGAGAAGAAACGTCTTTAAAGCAAATCATCCACTCTCCGACTGGAAGCTTTTTGCCCCAGCTTGAGTGCTTTGTGCAGAGTTTCATAAAAGAGAAATTCGATTAAATATTTAAAAGGAATGGAGCTGCTGTCCTCTTAGCTCCACATCAACAACCCTAGTGGCTTAAAACTGAATATGTAACACCGGAAGACTGAGGTACTGACCCATTGTACTGTTTGAGAAATAGACACATCTAAACATGTGCTAACATCACAGGATGTGGTCTACAGTACATGTTAGTTGGACTCTCTACTTTATTATTACAAACAAAAACCTGAACAGTGGAAAAGAAGAGGAACAAGCCTTAGTGATTTTCTTACAAAGATTTCTCCATGAAATTGCAGGGGAATATTCCTTTTCGCTACATATTTATTCAAGATAAATGTGCCATAGCTTGGAATTTTCATATGACTTTCAGGGCCAAGTGAAGAACGCTTTTATGAAAAATCATCAGACAATATGGCAAGTATCTTGAACTCTTCAGACTGGAACACTTTCTTGAGGCTGAGTCAAATATTTGTTAAAGGTCTCTTTTCCAGGCAGTGCCCTCGTTGACTAACTTTGTATGTTTAAAGTCATAGGGAAGTCATATTTAAATGTCAAATCATTCTGCTTAAACATGTATATAAATGTACTCTTTATCAGACCATATTGTCCCAAAAGTTAGGAAAAAAATCCTGTCTTAAAATCTGTTTTTTTCCTTCGTTATCTTATGCAGTCCAGTTAGTTATACGTCAGCTTGTACACCTAAATCCGGCCAATCATATATCAACGGTCATCAGTCAATCAAATTTTTTCGGTCATAGCATCTGGTTTCATATGTCGCAGCTAATATACGCAATGGTTGAAATAAGAAACACAAATCATTTACTTTCCCATTGAGTTCCATCCCAGTGTTTACAGGGATGGATGTCTGTGTCTTCAGCAGGTGTAGAGCTAACGCAAACTGGCAGCATTGCGAGGCAAGGGCTCAAACATGTATGGCTGGAAGCCTTCTACACCAAACCAAGCTTCTGCCGCCCTGGCGTCCTCTTCCACTACATCTTCGTCGGCGATTTCCTCCTCTAAATAAAAAATGTATGACGGAGGAGACTCATCCACGACCTCCGACACAAAACTCTTCTCCTCTTGCATGTTTCCGCTGTCCATAGCGTTCCTTGACAGTGTCGTTTCTAAGTCACCAAGTTAGTTCTACTTGGTCCCAATGTAATTTCCCATTGGGAACCTGATAGCACTAAGATGCTAACTGGTTAGCAAGATGCATCTGACAAACCGGCCACAATCAAACTTGCTTGCGAACCTTCTGCCAAAACAATCCCGCCCCATTGATTAATGACAAATCACATTCACTTTATTCACTCGTGTAAAGTCAGGCACCACTCAGGAGAATTTGGAACTGCAAAGGTTGGAACAGCCATTACCCTACGACTTAAATCAAATATGGGAAACAACAGCGGTGTTCTATAATTTTCCTGAACTAAATCCAGCTGGCAGCAACTAAACTCATGTTTGAAGTTGGTGAACTTCCTGGATCAATCTCAGTCCATCACGGTGGATGCCTTGACGCAACAACCAAGAAACTTTCTCCGTCTCTTCTTCAGCTTGCACCGTGTGAAGCTGTTGTTGGAACAGATGGACTTCCTAAGTATCCGAATGTGTCTCTCCTTCTCTCGGATTTTCATCTCCAGGTGGGACTGGATGGCCGTACCAAGAGATTCCAGGTCTACAGAGGCACCATAAACCTCCCAAGTCATCCCTTGTTTGTCCCACAATACCTCTGGAGGCTTTTCAGTCTGCCCTTTAAACCCATCCTCGTTCGCTTTGTTGGCCTGTGGGTTTTTCTCATTGTTTTCCTCCTCCCAGATGCTCTCAGAGCTAACATCTGGGTCTTGTCCAATCTCTGACATTAGTTCAGGGTTTTGTTGGAAGCTGTAAGTGCGCAGACACGCAGGAAGGGAACTCGCCTTTTCAGGTACAACTAAGGGAAGTATTGATTGGCTGCATAGCTCAATCTCGATCTGGCAAACATGTTTGAGGGGTGGAAGGTAACTAAGTGATGACTGACAACTGGGGGAACCAATCAGGGATGAGGTGAGAGGTCCCTGTTGGAGGCTGGGGCTTGTAGAGACAGAACGTTCAACCACTTCCACCTCTACCTGAACGCCCACCTCTTTCCGCTCTCCTGAAAGTTTTTGGAGTCTTTGAGACTCAGTCTTGGCTGCAGTCTCCTTGACTTTCTTCTTGGTTGGTGCATGAGTAGATGAAGACGAAATGGGATGAAGAGGTGAAGAACAATTCACTTCATTCTTCTTTCCATGAACTGGCATTTTCTGCTTTTGCTCTCCTACATTAGTTGCCCGAGGTGATGAGATGATATTTGTGTCCCTTGGGTGTTCCATTTTCCTCAGGCGATCTAATTCCCTCCTACTATCTCCCAAATGACATTCCTTCTCAATATTCTTGTCCTCTTGGGATATTTCCAACCCTTCTTGAGTCTGCACCTTATTCTCACTAGATCTTAAATGTTTTTTGACAGCATTATTGTCTAGTTTTGTGATTGAGTCAAAGGTAAGACCTCGGGTCAGACAAGTATTTCGGGATGAACTGCCAGGGTCTCTTTTTACAACTGTGGAAACTTCAGAGGTATGTGTGAATCCTTCCACTGTTTTCGAGTTCACCACAGGTCTTGTTTTAGGACTAGAAGATGTCAAAGGGGCCAGTGTACCTGAAATGAAAGCAAAATGATCTGCTGTCAGAAAGGTGCTTGATGCTTTTCAAGGCAACTTGTCTGATAAAGTTGGAAAGCATAGAAAGTGTCTAAATGTGTTCCAATCTAATGTGCTTGTAAACTTTAAAAATATTCAGCCTGCAACTGGCTTACTTTCCTACTCAAAACTTTGTTGAGTGAAAATTACATCAACTCTAATTGACTCATT